CTTTCCAGTAAATCAGCAAAACAACTCCCCCCCCTTTAAAAACACATCAGTCGAGTGTTATCACTTCCAAGTTCCCTTGTATTATTAAATACTACAGGAAAAAGCCCCTACTTTACAATCTGATTAAAAAAACTCCCCTCCCTTTCCAGTGCTTTCTTCAGTCTGACATGGCCCTCAGGGGGAGAATGGTACCAGGAAGGGCTTCTGTGATGCTTACCCAGGCTCCCAGCAGCATCATAGATAAACAACCAGTGGCAGCAGCTGGGTTTGGGTACATCCAGCCTTCCTGAAAGTGGGGTGAGGTGTGCCGGATTTGCAGGTGGAAGCCTAACTGTGTGGGAGTCAGAGGGAAGAAACATTGAAGTAAACAGGGAGTTTGAACTGCCAGGACACAGGGTGGCTGTGGCAGAGAACTGTTCATTCAGTATGGTTGGTAGAGTTCTCTCTGTGCCACTAGACCAAACTATCTTTGTCATGGTTCTCCTCCCAGCAGATTTTCTAGTACTCACATATGCTTGTCTTAACTTTGTGAACCAATCCGTAAAATTTCCACATGAATTCAACCCTAGGAAGTCGTATTTCCTTTAATTTTACATTCCATTAATGTAAAACACCACACTTATTTTTAATCCACCTTCTGTTAAAACATTGCAGTATGCAAAGTTTTGAAGGCCTTGTAGTTTGGGCCAACAGTTGCGTGACACAAGCTACAACGACCTTCGTGATGAATGGCACCCCAGAATCGTGCTCAAAGTTTTGAGTTGTTTATAACAGTGGGAAGTGATGGAAAAGGAAAAAATTAAGTCCAGTTTCTGGATTTAGCTCAACTTTCATTTGAGCTACAAAAACATACAGTACTGAGATTTCCAAGGACACCCACAGCATGTTGATGGTGTTTAGGTTTGTTCAGAAGTGATCTGTGAATTGGTCATGTCCCACCACCACAGACCCACATGAGTTGATCACAAATAACCAACATACACAGAGAAGCAGGACCTGGTGATTATCATCAAAACATTGCAATAATATAAAACCATTTCAGAGTAAATACAGAAAAATGGTTTTCTATTTGATTTATTTTCATAATAAACCAATTAAAAATACAAAAGACAAGGACCAAGGTTCAGAGGGCTCCATCATTTAAAAATTTGTCTTTAAATACAAATTCACTCTGTAATATGAATACATATAACATTAGACCTCTAAACATAATGATCTTATTTGCATCTACCAAAAATTTGTATGGAAACAAATTAGCTGAAAAAACTTCCCTGTGACATTGAATGTACATTATTTACAATCAAAAAACCCAACTCTTAGCAGTATTAATCTCCAAATACCGGTATAAATTGTATATATTTCATTTCCCTCCCCCCTTAACAAAATAATCTGAAGTAGAAAGCAAGATTCTTAAGTTCCATAGTTGCAAAATGGCATGAAACTGTTGCACCTGTAGTGATGCCGTTAGCTTCTGTATTTAAATATATCCAATGTTTTCATATAAAATCTATAAATGGCATTGTCCGTTACTGGAATAAATGTTTCGTGTACTCTCAACAGGAGTGTGTATTCAATTTTTGCACACACAATGGCTTGTGCTGCAAAAAAACAAAAATAAAAAAGGTAAGAGGCTACCTGGTTATCAAAGTCTAAAACGGATGTAATCCACCGGTACGAAACAGATACTCGATCATAAAAAGTCATACGCGTGGAATGAGAATGTCCCACTAAAAGTAACTGTTGCTTCAAAAGTTAAGTGATAAACACATGGATTAAACAGAAAAGGTTATAATAACGTTACTGCAATGTAAATGGCAAACGTACAATAAGAAATAAGTTTGAAACTTTGGCCAACAACCTCAGGAGAATGTCTTCATAGCGTAAAAAGCATGTTCCTTCATGCCTGTATTTTGAAACATGAGTAATATATAATTTTATTTATATGATAACATTTAGCAATTAAAAGAAATTCAAAATCCATTCTAAAGCATGAATTCTAATAATTAACTGCAGAAATTAAGTAGCTTTGCAACATCTTGCTTCAGAATCAACTCATATATACATAACTGAAAAGGTCCCATCACATTTATGAAAATAATCATCCACAGGGTCTTTTTTTTTTTTTAAATTTATTAATGTGAATTGGGTTCCAAGGGCTCATTTTCTTGCTTCACTTGCACATTAGATGGGAAACCACTGGAGTCGGACACCACCATCACAAACGGCTGCTGCTGGAATCTCTGCTCCGGCTCCTCAGTGTCTTCTGGCTGGTCACTCTCTTCTTCTTTTACCTCTCCTTGTAGGCCAACCTGTTTCGTTTCTGGTGCTTTAATAACTGAAGTGATCACCGTGCCCGATGGATGCGCTACCACCTGTGAGCTGCTGGGCGAAAACGTCACCACGGGGGTAGTGGCACTGAAGGATGGAGACGAGGCCATGTTGACTGTTCCGTTGCAAACTGTCTGCACGCTGCTGGTGAGCACCTGCTGGACTTGGGCTGGGCTCAGCACGATTGAGGAAGGGGGCGAGACTGGCTTCTGAGACTGTAGCATGACGTTTTCTTTCAGAACCGTCATGGGCTGAGAAGTAGGAATGGCTTGTAAAATGAATTTTTGGGACGTTGTTCCTGAGGCTGGGTCTGTGCTGGCTATCACTGTAGTTAGAGGCACTGTCTGGAGTGTTACAGTATGCAGCTGCTGATTGCCGGGAGAAACAACCACTGGGACTTGGGTTGGAGTCTGTAAAGTCCTGTTAAGGTTAGAAAAGATTAGAAAAGGGTTAGAATGCTTCCAACGTGGAGTTGTGAAAAACCACTTGGCATCATAAACATTTCATTTACCCAACAGTTCCAAAAGAGGTAGTGGTCGCTTGCCTAATAAGAACTGGACCTGATCCCCAAATTCAGTTCCCAAAACTGAGGTAAACTTTGGGAACAGGCAGTTCCCAAAGTAGAGGTACCCTAGATGAATACTACCACCACCAAACTGAACAGCCTGCCTGTGGGACCTTCAGTAGTTTGTCAGAAAACCTGGGAATTGAATCCAAGATCTCCTCGAGCATCAGCTCACGTCAAGAGCATGACCCACTACACATCTGCCATCAACTTCACGAGCTACCCTAAGCAATTCCTAAGTCACCAGCCTAAACTCTTAAATCAGGCCTAAATCCTCCTGATATCTATACATACATTTACCTACAGGCAAATGTATCTGCACTGTAAGTCTGTCTGATCAGGACCTTCTCAGAGCCCCAGGACATACAGTTCTATGTTTGCCAGGCTTGTACGCTCCTTCTGGTCAAGCAACTGCACAGAACTCGCTCCCAAACCATCAGGTTAATTTTGGAATGACCCCATCAGTCGCCAGCTCACTGACTTGGGTACCACAGCACTTTCTATAGGGGTCCAGCTGAGAGGGCAGCATTACAGGATCAACAGCCCTATTACTGAGGCACACGATGACTATGATGGACAAGGGTGGCTTAGAGCTTATGTGCCTGAAATGCATACATTCCAGTTGTGCATATAGAACCCAAACACAAAAAAACCAAACCAGAACATACTCCTGGCGAAGGAAGTGATTTCCAGGGAAGGGAAGGAGGAAAGGAAAGGCAACTGCTTTGACACCCTCCTACAGCTTGCTGCAGCCCACCATGCCACACTGTCTCCAAGTCTTCTTCCTTCCTCTGCTTCCCCTGCAGTTATTTCCATCCTTCTTGCTTCTCTTCAGTATATTTTGTCCTCCCTGCCCTCCTCTCCTGTTTTAGTCTTAAGCCCTCCTCTGTGTTTTCTTGAACATATTTGACGCTGGCCAAGCCCCAAATAATGATCTCCTCCTTGCCCTAGCTTATATCTACCCCTGCTGAAGTCACTTTTGATAGACAGCAATTTACAAATAAACGCTTGTGCTTTCAGGTCCACACACAACACTGCACACGCTCCCTTCTGCAGACTGGCCCTCGGATGCGCTCCAAGGGTTGCCTGCTGTGGAATGTCTTCCTTTCTGTTGTCCTTCTCCCCACACAGTACCTGTCTCTTACAGCTCTGTGAAATCCTGCTCGACAGCATTCTGCCCTTGACCGCTCAGATCAGATTCAGCACGTTAACAATTTCACTTTAAAACCACACTCTGGCTTTCAGAGTCACAGAACAAAACCTTACCAAAGCAGGACTTACGTGATGCTGAAGTTATGGGGCAATGTGGATGAAAATGCTGCTCCAGGCAGTAGTCCAACCACACAGAACTGCATTCCCCCTTTCTTACTGCAGCAGCAGAAGCAAGTGAAGGAATATTCATAGAGGATTTCTCAGGTCCCTCTCAGCTCAGTCCTCTGGGAAGGCCCCCTAGGTGACCTAGGTGCTCCAGTAAGAGCAGCTGGACAGCCTGGATCTATGGACTGAGGCCAATGGTATGAGGATCAACAAGGCCAAGTGCACTTGGACCACAGCAACCCCACGGAATACTACAGGCTTGGGGATGAGTGGCTGGAAAGCTGCCCATCAGAAAGGGACCTGGGGGTGCTGATCAACAACTGGCTAAATATGAGCCAGCAGTGTACCCAGGTGGGCAAGGCAGCCAACAGCATCCTGGCTTGTATCAGAAATTGTGTGGCCAGCAGGACTAAGGGAATGATTGTCCCCCTGCACTCAGCACTGGTGAGGTGGCACCTCAAGTACTGTGTTCAGTTTTGGGCACCTCAATACAAGAGAGACAAAGAGGTGCTGGAGCAGGTCCAGAGCAGGGCAAGTAAGCTGGTGAAGGGCCTAGAGCATACACCTTATGAGCAGCTGAGGGAACTGGGGCTATTTGGTCTGAAGAAAATGAGGCTCAGAGGAGACCTTGTCACTCTCTATCACTACTTGAAAGGAGGTTGTAGGAGAGGTGGGTGCCAGGCTCTTCTCATAAGTAACAAGTTATACGTCAAGAAGAAATAGCCTCAGGTTGCACCAGGGAAGGTTTAGGTTGGCCATTACAAAATTTTTTTCATTGCAAGGGTTATTAAGCATTGGAAAAGACTGCCCAGGGAAGTGGTTGAATCACCATCCCTGGACATGTTTAAAAACCATGTAGATATGGTGCTTAGAGACATGGTTTAGCAGTGGACTTAGCAGAGTTAGGTTAATGGTTGGACTTGATGATTCTGAAGGTCTTTTCCAACCTAAATGAGTCTGTAATTCTATGATACCAGGTTCAGAGTACAGCAGTACTCCCTGAGCATCCTCCAAGTGCCAGTCCCTGTTGCAGACAATCTTTTCTCCACCTCCTGTGTGGCTTGGTAATACAAGGAATAAAATCTGCATCTGTAGCTTTCTCTTCCTCACAAGAAAGAAGGCGGCAGTACCCAGGAATGCTGCTGTAGCAAATCAAATCCAGATCCTTGCCCATGAGGCTCCCAGCAGGTCTCATCACGGAGGCCAATAACCAGGACTGACACCAGAGTCAAGCTTCAGCTGTTGTTTCACACAGCTGGAGGCAGTCCAAGCCCAAGAGAGAAGCTCATGGAAATGGGGGCTGGCTGGAGATGGAGCACCAGCTAGAGTGATTGCTTCTTTCTTTCCAGCTTCTGGAGAACTTGGTGAAGCACAGCAAATACCAACAACTGAGCTTGAAGTGCAAGGCTCAGAATGACAACATCAAGGTTCACTCACACCAGGTCTGCTAAGGGTTAGCAGTGCTAACTTTTTCCCCCAGCTATTCCCCTGGGGCTCTGATAGAAAAGTCACAAATTATTGTGCCAGAAGTAGTAATAGGATGAGGGCATCCCTTGGCTTGTCTAAAAAATAAAAATAGTGAACTACCTAGAGTTAAAGAAATTTGCAGTTAAGTCAAAATGTCACATAGATACAACTCAACCCAGGGACATCTACAGAGACCAAAATGCAAGTGGAACAGCTAAGAAGAAAGGACAACTGACACTTCCCATCAGAAAAGCATTAAAAATTATCACAGTAGATACCAAGCCAGGTCTTTAATCCATGAATAAACTTAATTGAACCTGAAGAATTAAGATCAAACCACTAGCTGCAGTTTTGAAAGCAGCAGCTGAAGCTGCTAGCCCGTGCTTGTAACACCATCCAAGTATTACTTTCAAGCTACTTTCTTGTTCTGTAGATGTTTTGTTGTGAACTAAAGTACTGAAAATAAAAGCGTCTAGCTGCTAAACGGCTGTAAAGGACAACCTCATAAAGTGTGAACTGGATGTCATGGATGCAGAAGGTATTCCACAAAGCCCTGGGACCAACAGTTCTGAGAGGACTGAACCAGACCGCTTGTCTCAGCACACTGTCACTAGCATTTGCATATTGATTGTAAGCCATTTTATTTCTCCTGACAGCAAGTCCTGTACCTGTACCTCACACTGTGACTAACAGCTTACTCCAGATGCTCTGTCTTATCTATCAGTCAAGATACAGATATATGACTTCTCAGAAGCCGGACAAGTGGGCCCATGTGAACCTCAGGAGGCTCAACAAGGCCAAGTGCAGGGTCCTGCACCTGGGTAGGGGCAATCCTTTTGTTATCAATACAGGCTGAGGGATGATGAGATAGAGAGCAGTCCTGCAGAAAGGGACCTGGGGGTACCAGTGGATGAAAAGCTGGACATGAGCCAGTAGTGTGTGCTCACAGCCCAGAAGGCCATTCGCGTACTGGGCTGTATCAAAAGCAGCATGGCCAGCAGATGGAGAGAGGTGATCCTGCCCCTCTGCTCTGCTGAGACCCCACCTGGAGTACCGTGTCCACCTCTGGAGTCCTCAGCACAGGAAAGGCATGGACCTGTTAGAAAGGGCCCAGAGGAGGGCCACAGAAATAATTAGAGGGCTGGAGCACCTCTCCTATGAGGCCAGGGGCTGAGAGAGCTGGGGTTGCAGCCTGGAGAAAAACAGGCTCTGGGGGAGACCTTATGGTAGCCTTCCAGTAGCTGAAGAGGGCCTACAGGAAAGCTGGGGAAGGACTGCTCACAAGGGTGAACACACACTACACACATGCATACAGATGTACACGCAAACACAGACACAGAGCGTGCACCCGCTACGGGGAGAGCATGCAGCAGGTGAGCAGGTGGCTGTGCAAGCACAGGGTTAAGTAGCACACAGCACCATGAATACGCCTTGTTACTGATGCTAATGGTGGCCCAGCCAGACATCTGGCGTAACTGGTGAGACTGCAGACAAGTGTGTCTGTTTACAAACTAAAAATTTATCTGCTCAAACTATTTGCCTTGATTATCACTGAAAACATATACAGGTTTGATTAATCGTTTTGCCTATTTTACAAAAAAAAGAAAATACAGATTACTTAAGGTGATGTTAACACTGGGCTACATTATTTTAGATGCTTTGAACTGTGCATTTTACTGTGCTTCTGATTTTCACTGTCAATTTGCTAACTCCTTTCCTATTCTAAGGTACAAAATCTACTGGGTGATTACTTTAAAAGTTCCGGCGGAAGTTACAAAAGAACAAGAACATTGAGCAACAGTGATGAAAAGGAAATGCTGCCATAAAACAATCTGGTTATGACTGAGAAAAGAATGACAAAAACTCTAAAGTCATTTTAGCTTGGCAGAAAATTATCATCTATTTCTTGGCCCACTTGGTACTGTTAAGAGCTCAGAATTGTGCAATTGTATTAGCTCATCAAGAGGTAACTAGTGATAAAGCAAACAATAAATGAGAGGCAGGAAAAACAAGTTTATTCATGGTAATTTCTGTGAATTTATGAAATGGAGAAAGGGAGAAGATAGACAAA